AAAGGTAGAGAAGATAGAAACAAAAGCTCCCAAAATAATTAACCCTACCACGTGAGCACCATGTCATCATGCCGAGTAACATCTGTGTCACGCCGAGAAACATCTGTGTCAGTAGCCACGTCAGCATATTCTACTACATCATCCTGCATTGCCACATCACCTGGTCATGAATTTTTTTACCCACTGAATATCATCATTCCTGGTATGCTTTTACATTTGTTAACCAAGATTTAACATTAATATTATTTTTTTATGCTTGTCCATAACTAAATTACATATCCTGCCTTTAAATTAAATTACCTTAATTTTAAGCTTGTTTAGCATTGAACATCTGATCCTCTTAATTAATTATGAAGCTTGGTTAAATTAGTGGAAAAACTGAAACATTGTGTTTGGATTACTTGTGTGCATTTAGAGAACTAGCATTGCTTGTTTGCGCATGTTCCTGGTTTAATCTGTCATTACTTAGTTTCCAAGATAATAAAAAAAATATTTTTAAAAAAAAATAAAAAAAATAAAATTTATTTTTTATTTTTATCAGCTATAATTTTATTTTACGTTTTTACTTGCAAGTGTTATTTGTGATCTTAGTCCTATGATTAGTTTTTGTATGCATTTATATAACGATCGTCTAATACACAATCTAGAAGTCATAACTATCATGGACCCAAACTCTAGTAATGTTGTTATGCGAACAAAAATGAGCAATATGTCCTATCAAATGAACAACCTTTCTGGGAGAATGGAGTCCATAGAAACTTTGCAAGTAAAATAATCTAGTGAGAGTGAGCATTCTAATGACAACTATAGGAATCCTCAAAGACCAGTTCCTCACAGGAATCGCCACCATAACCAATATTAGGGTCACAATGACCTTGTTGACCCTAACGATAGTGAGCATTCCAATGATTATCGTCAAAGACCAGCTCATCCTAGAAACTGTCAATACAATCACAATCAAGGTCATCACAATTACGATGACCCTTATAAGCGAGTTATGAGGCATATTAAGGTAGAAACCCCAACTTTTAAGGGTCAACTTGACCCCGTGAATCTTTGATAGATGGATCCGTGACATGGATCAATTCTTTGACTAGTATAATTTATCTAAGAATAGGTAAAAGAAGTGTTAAAAGAATTTCTAGATGTTTTTTCTTCTGAACTACCTGATACTTTACCCCTTATACGTGATGTTCAACACGCCATATATTTTATCCTTGGTGCCACATTACCAAACTTGCCTCATTATAGGATGAATCTGAGTGAACATGTTAAGTTACAAAGGCAAGTATGTGAGTTATTACAAAAAGGATTTATACAAAAGAGTTTAAGCCCTTGTGCAATACTTGTGCAATACCTGCATTATTAACACCTAAGAAAGATGGATCATGGAGAATGTGTGTAGACAATTGAGCCATCAATAGCATTATAATCAAGTATCGTTTTTTAATTTCTCGATTGGATGACATGCTAAATATGATGGCAGGAGCCCAGATCTTCTCTAAGATTGACTTGAAGAGTAGGTATTATTAGATTAAGATCCGTCTGGGAGATAAGTGGAAAATGCCATTTAAGACTAAAATATGATTTATATGAATAGCTAGTTATGTCTTTTTGCCTTTCCAATACACCAAGCACTTTTATGAGAGTAATGACACAAGTGCTTTAGCCATTTATAGGAAATTCCTTGGTGATATACTTTGATGATATTCTTATTTATAGCAAAACCAAGAAAGAGCATTTCAATCATCTTATTCAAGTTTGTACCACCCTAAGAAAGACAAGTTTGTTTGCAAATGTCAAAAAGTGTTTCTTTTTTACGGATCAAGTGGTTTTTTAGGGTTTATAATGTCATGGAAATGAGTTTCTACTGACCCCTAGAAAGTTCAAGCGATAGTAGATTGGCCTGAACCTAAGACTATTCATGAGGTTCGTAATTTTTTTTTTAGGGTTTATAATGTCATGGAAATGAGTTTCTACTGACCCCTAGAAAGTTCAAGCGATAGTAGATTGGCCTGAACCTAAGACTATTCATGAGGTTCATAATTTGTATGGGCTTGTGATTTCTATCATCATTTCATCAAGGGATTTAGCACCATCATGTTGCCTATTACAGATTATTTGAAACAAGATGAGTTTAAGTAGAGCAAAGAAGCTAATAAATCATTTAAGGAGGTTAAGAAGAAGATGACGAAGGCCCCAATAATACAGCCACCTGATTTTACTAAAGTGTTTGAAGTAGAATGTGATGCTTTGGGAGTCGGTATAAGTGGGGTACTTAGTCATGAAGGTCACTTTATAGCCTACTTTAGTGAGAAACGTAATGAGGCAAAATAAAAGTACTCAACTTATGATAAGGAGTTTTATGCGGTGGTTCAAACCTTGCGCTATTGGCATCATTACTTGTTACCATAAGAGTTTATTCTTTACTCTGACCATGAGGCCCTTTGCTATCTTAACTCCCAAAAGAAGCTTAATCACAGGAATGGTCATTGAGCAAACATACTCATTTATTTTGAAACATAAATCTAGAATAGAGAATAAAGTTGCTGATGCTTTAAATCATTGGATAACATTGTTGTGTGTAATGAATGTTGAAGTCACAAGATTTGAGAGATTTAAAGTGGGGTATGAATCTTGCTCATAATTTAGAGAAATATACTTGACAATGAAGGATGAGAATCACCGTGTTATAAATGGTTATCACCTTCAAGATGGATATTTATTTCAGGATAATAAGCTTTGTATCCTGAAAACATTTGTACGTGAATTTTTAATATAGAAGATTCATGCTGGAGGTCTCTAAGGATATTTTAGAAGGAATAAAACCATCGAAGGGGTGAAACATCATTTTTTCTAGTCTAATTTGAAAAGAGATATAGCCAAATTGGTAAGTCAATGTTGAACTTGCTAACTAGCTAAGTATAGAAAAATAAAATACTGGTCTTTACACCCCATCGCCCATTCCCAGTTACTCATGGCAAGATGTAAGCATGGATTTTGTGCTTGGGCTTCCACTTACTGCAAAGAAACATGATTCTATTTTTTATAGTTGTCGAGCGCTTCTCTAAGATGGCCTATTTTATTCTTTGTACTATGAGCAAAGATGCTTTCAAAGTTGCAAAACTCTATTTTAACGAGATTTTCAAGTTGTATGGTCTTCCCCAATCCATAGTTTCGGATAGGGATGTTAGATTTACAAGTTATTTCTGAAAAACCCTTTGGCATATGATGGGAACCAAATTGAAGTTTTCTACTACTTACCATCCCCAAATTAATGGTCAAACTGAGGTGTTTAATAGGAGTTTAGGCAACCTTGTAAGGTGTCTAGTGAGTGATCATAATAGGAATTGGGATATGATTCTTCCTACGGCTTAGTTTGCCTATAATAGTTCTATCAATAGGTCAATAGGTATGAGTTCCTTTGAAGTTGTACATGGTTAGAAGCTTAGGAAACCTTTAGATCTTCTTCCCATGTCCCTTCATGCTAGAGTGTCTGAGTCAACTGAGTTTTTTGCACGTGGAATTCAGGATTTGCATATTGAGATTACTAAACAAATTCAAGCAAGTAATGTGCAATATAAACTTTTAGATGATTTATATGGATGACTGGGAGACTATGTTATGGTACAGATTAGACCTGAGTGGTTTTCTTCGGGAGCTAATAAAAAATTACATGCACGTAGTGCCGGGCATTTCAAAGTGTAACAATAGGTTGGTCTAAATGCTTATGTTTTTGATTTACTATATAATTTTGGCATTAGCTCTATATTTAACATTGAGGATCTAGTTGCATACTATAAGCCACTTCCTATTCCAACTAATCGATTTGAGATACCACTTAACTCCCCCCTGATTATCCTATTGAAACCTTTATCTCTTTCACTGTGACATCAACACAAAAGGATAATATTAATGCTATTTTAGATGAACAAGTTGTTTTTAACATGAATGGTAAGGTCCAATGGTTTTTAGTTTGCTAGGTGGGTTGACTTGACTCAGATTGCATTTGAATTACTAGAGATACTTTGCAACAGTTTGATCCAAATCTTTAGGAGTACTATCAGAGTCGGCCAGTGCTACACTCGTCGGGGTTGAGTTTTTCTAATCCTAGGAGAGTTACTGGGAATACCAAACACACACCACAAACTACACGAGTATATAGACAGCGACAACGTAGGATGCCTAGCCTATCACGCTTTAGTTAGGAGACTAAGTCTATTTGGGGCTATCTCATTATTATTTTATTTATTTAAAATTATTTATATTAAACAGTTTGATTTGATGAGCTGAACACAATAGCGAAATATTTTAGGGTTTAGTATTTATATCTTCCTGTGTCATTTTGTGAGACAATTTTTTTTATTTTAATTCTTATTATTTATTATCTCGCAAGAAAAACATTTGTTTTCTCATGATACTAACAAAACTAAAAAATGAAGACGGGTTCAAAAGAAAATGAGAAGAAAGAAACTTGGTTGAAATAAAATGTTTTATAACAAAAGTGAGATATAGATTAGGGTTGCTTCCTTTCAACAATCTCAAGTTAGATAATATACTATTTTTTTTTAATTTTTATGAATGATGAATATACACGAAGCAAACCAATAAACTTGTGAGAAAAAGCTTTATTTTCATTTTAAAATATTCAAAATTAAATACAAAGTTTATATAGTGGTAGTTTATATATGTAGGCAAAATTTTGAAAATTATTTTTTGTATATAATTATTATTTTTATTTTTAAAATATTTTAAAATAAAAAATATTTTTTAAAAAAATCATTACCTCTGCATTTTACAATTCTCCTATAAAAGAAAAAAAGGAAACAAAAATGTTTTGCGTAATTCAATTTCAACATGTGGTCAAGCGTAGTTCTCACTCCTCTTTCATTCGCGTAGACATACATAGAAAACGATGTATCTTTACCTGTTTCAGTCTGAGGTTAGAGAGCTTGAGACTGGTGGTCTCCATAATTCCACTCCTAACACCCCTTCCACATCCGAGTACTCAATTTATTCTCCACGTTACTTTCTCTCTCTCTCCTATTCTGCATTTCTTGTTTTCTTTCGGATTTATTGGTGTCCATAACCATCTCCATCTCTTTTTCAACGAAGCACCATTTGATTACGTATCCTACTCTCTTTTTTTCAGCAGCCCTCATCTCTCTCCCCGTTACCCCACCTCTCTCCGCATTCTCTCATCTCAGTTTTGATCTTCACATCCCTCAAAAGGCTAACCAGAAATGAAGGTTAGATTCCCTGTTATGGAATCTTTATTTATTTATGTATTTCCTTTGTAATTCTTTATTGGGTTTCGATTCTTTAAGAGTTTCTTGGTTTCTAAACGGAATTTAAGACATTCTGGTTCATGGGTTCATTTGATTCCCGGTATCTAGAGGAGTCCATGACTACCAGGGGTATCTTTCTGGGACTGGTTAAAGAAAGAATCAGTATTTTGAGTGCTCTTTTTAAGAAGAGAGTCTTTTGAATGTCAAGTTGAGGTTCAGATTTCGTACATTAGTCAAGTTCTGGTCTCTTTATAGATAATTGATCACTAAAAAGTTTGTTGATTCTGGGTTGGTGCTTTCTTACATTTGTAACTTGTTTCGATTTTTGCTACTTGTAAGAGTGAAAAACATCGCATATTTTTTAGACAAAAAACAAAAAGTAAATCAAATTGGTTTTGATCATTTCATTAAGTTTTGCTGACATGATTAAGGAAATTCTGAAAGTAGTTAAATTGAAGTTCTGAATTAGATCTATTTAATTTATGGTTGCAGAAGTTTGTGTTGAGGTTGGACTTGCCTGATGACAAATCCAAGCAAAAGGCTATGAAGACTGTGTCTACTCTTTCAGGTGCCAAATTAATCTCTTACTTTTCTAGGATTTCAATGTTAGTTTTTTTCCCTTTACCTTGCATGTGTAATTTGGATATGTTTGATGATGGGAAGCAAATTGTTTTTTTTTTAAAGATTGTTGTTATAGTTGATTTTGTTTAAAACTATATAAAATATATTTATTTATTTTTAAAAAATTATTTTTGATATTAATATGATTAAAAAATATAAAAATAATTTTTATTATTTTTAACCTTAATATTGAATTTAAGCCCACCACATGTTTGTTTAATTACTCCTTCTCTTTGTTTTTTTTTTTTTTTTTTTTTTTTTTGGTGTGCGTAAAAACACTTTTGTTCTCTGTTTCCTTTTCGTAATGATTGCTCCGTCTGTCTATTTTTTTAGTTGAGATTTCCCTTCAGGTCTCTCCTTTCTCTAGTTCAACTATTTCTATCGAGATTCAAGTAAATATGACCTTAAATCATAGAGGACAAATGTCTGTACCTATCAAATAAGCCATCGCGCGCAAACTAGCAATGAAATATATATATATATATTTCTGTTGAAGTAATTCTGATTTATCGAATATTCTCCTAAAATCATGAAAATTGTCGTGTAGATCCAATATTTAAATGCACGTCCTAATCAGGCAAAAGAAAACAAACGGAAATCAAACTTGCATGTAGAGTGAGACAGGGCTGCATAAAATAACTTTTCCAAAATCTATGTTTTCTTTTGTTTGCGGACAAGCTAACCATTTGCTTTATAATCTGCATATATTTTGTATGTGGTTGGTGCAAATTTTTAATGGGCCGGGGATGAGGTTCTTAAAAGACAGTTTAATTAGTGGTTAAAGCTTAAGACTTTCCACATATACGGAGGCCTATCTCATCCCACTGAAACAAAAGGGAGTTTTTTTTTTAAAGAAAATTAAAAACTCTGAGGAATTCCCAATAAACGAAGAGAGGGTTCCCAATAAAGAAAATGGAAAAAAAAAATGATGGTTGCATCAATTTGCAAGTGTTTGTGCTTACTAATTTTTAGCGGGCGGGACATTGTAATTGTTGTTGGGGAAAATAACGTTTTGGAATCTTATAGGAATTGATTCCATTGCCATGGACATGAAGGCAAAGAAACTGACTGTGATAGGAACAGTTGATCCTGTAAGCGTAGTCAGCAAATTGAGAAAATATTGGCAAGCAGATATTATCTCAGTAGGGCCTGCGAAAGAGCCTGAGCCTGAGAAGAAAGAGGAGGCTAAGAAAGAGGAACCCAAGAAAGAGGAGGAGGCAAAGAAAGAGGAATCTAAGAAGGAAGAAGCTAAGCCAGAGGAAGCCAAGAAAGAAGAACCCAAAAAAGAAGAGGAGAAGAAGGAGGAGGAGAAAAAGAAAGAACCAGCACCACCGCCAGACCCAGTTATGGAGCTTGTCAAGGCCTACAGAGCTTACAATCCTCAAATGACCACATATTACTATGCCCAAAGCATAGAAGAGAATCCAAATGCTTGTGTTATCTGTTAAGTGTTGGGCTATTATAAATTAAAGACGACCACTTTTCCTTCCAGCTGATGATTGCTTTTAATCTCATCAATGTGTGGTTGAGGCTAGCTTGCGACATATAAGAAGTGAGGAGCCCTGCATGTATATAGGTGGTGGTATATCTGCCTCTTTCATCTCTTCAGACATTAAGTAATCTGTAGAGAGAATAAATGAAATTTTTGCAGCTTGTTCTTTGATACATTTTCGATACATAGCTATTGCTATTTCTTGTTTCTTTATTTTCTTTTGTATTCAATTTCTTGTTTTTCAAACCAAGCCATATACAGTAGAATATAGAACATTCCCATGTTTGGAATGTAATAAATATTATTTTTTAAATATTTATCATTTATAAATATATTAAAAAAATATATATTTTTTTAGATTTACCTTTAACGTCACCCTATCAAGATAATTTAATTTTTTGAAAAAAACACAGCTGCCGCAGTGGAATGATAAACAGGGCTGCCCAGACCGTTCTCTAGTAATATAGTTCATAGGATGGCAAAAGTGGGAAAATAATTTACACCCACGTTCATGGTTAATAATAGCCTTGCCTTTTTGGAAGAGAATCCATGGTGGACCATAGCTAACAAGCCAGATTTTGTTTTTCTCTCTCACCGCCTTCCTCTGTTCATGTGTAAGGTGTAGAGAGAGAAGCGAATTTGTGGATCTCATTTATCTTAACTTGTCAGCTTTGTCCGATGTCAGCTAAAGTTCCGTGGCCCAGCTAATTTGGTCGGTGTCGTTATGCAATGATGATTTCAAAGGATCCAACTCTCTTCTTGGCAAGTAGCATGCCACTGTATGGTTGGATATCAGAAGTTAGCTTATGGAGTTTTCTGTTTCGGGAATTTAATAGAGACAGCTTGAAGCATGCATTTTCTTTTCGAGATTTGTGGTGACTTATCACAGTTAGAATTAGTAAAATAATACTGCCAAAAAATATTTAGAGATCCGGGATAATTAATTGAGTCGTTATTGATGAATCACAAATATTATTTGCAACTTAAATATAGGAATTGTGATTTCTCTAGCATACTCGACCTAGAATAATTTATTTTTTTTTGTCATTAACTCCCTGCCCCCTAAAAAAACAATTAGCATGATTTAAATAGCTAGTTTTTCAACATTAAAATATTATTTATATAAGCAATACATAACATCTTCTATAATAAATAATAAAATTAAACTAATAATTGATATAACATAATATTTTATTAATATCAAACTAGCTACACATGTATTCATGATTCTCAAAATATATAATAACATATAATTATATCTAATAATAGCCCTAACTTATAGAACACTCGTAGATGAGTTAGGAGTATCACCTAACTTGTCTAACTCGATGACGAGTATGTAATATCTATATAAGTGTAAGGAAGACCAATCATCTCAGTTCGTGGATGGATATGAGATGCTCGTGGACGGACTGACATCCCCAATGCTTCCACGATGAATAATCTCATCTTCTGTTAATGCCTCTTCAAGACGCTTAGCCTCCCCAACCTTTTGAATCTACCACGACATAAATTGAATGTAGTGTTGACCACAATACATCCCATCTTATTGACTCCTTCATGGATAACCGTTGTTACTTCTCGAGCCTCATGTAACAAGTAATTAATCTACATGCATATATTAAAAATTAATTAGTAGCCATCATCCATAACAAAATTAATGCAATATTTAATACTGTAAATAATGCATTGGATTGCATGAATATCTCGGGAAATATGACCAAATAGATGCAATGAAATAACGCGTAATGGATATTGATCATCTCATATAGATATTTACATCAATCGTTGGATCTCATTCCTAAAACCACGATCTCTTATAAAATCCTAAATATGTAAGTAAAATGCATGAATCATTAACCAATTCACCTTGCACTTACCTTGACAGCTAATATTGTGTTGCTCATAACCAATATCATTATAATATGATATATGTTAAGATAGTTCAAACTATTATATTTTCCTATTTGGACAATACATCTCCATAATGCTGAAGCAATGTAATGGGACCTATGCTAACCAATAAGTAGACCCCTCACAGCATATAGGTAAAGTTGAAATCAAGTCATTTATAAATGCCATCCATATAATTTATTAAAATATATAGAAGACTTATATAATCAAAACTAAATAATTTATATTCAAATAAGAAAAAATTCAATATATTTGTACCACATATTTGATGTGGTTATTATGCACCCAACCCATTCCGATAAAACTTGTTGATATAAGTGAGATTTACCGTGAAATATCTAACCTTATACCATTTGATATGACAAATCATAAAGTTAGTTCAATTTTATTTTATTATTTCTAACCAATGGATATTGGTTTTTGGGTGACAATGTCATATATATTATCAAAATGAACATTTGATATGAATATATTAATCAACATTGATAATTCTAAGTTAGTATTTAAAATGCGATTAATTCTAATTATCAAATAATTTAAAATACATATACTTGAATAAATAACTAACACTTGGTAATTTGTCTTCTTTTTTTTTTTAAAAAAAAACAAGCTTTACATAGATACCAATATAGATATACAAATATAAACCCCAAAACTATAATTAGAAATGGCCCAAAATTCCTTAAGCAATGTAAAAATAATAAATAGTACTGTATTACTAGTAATACTCGTGAAAACAAGACCTCCAAAAATATATAATATATATATATTTAAGCATACATAATCAACTAGTCTTCTATCACATCTGCTGGAGGGTCTTAAAATTAATATCTAACCATGTTAATTTGATGCAGTTACCTCTATAAGCATCTGCTAGAGACATTTGTCTTAATAGACTATCGTATAAAGTTTTTATGTTCATCAACTTTTAGTGGCCTGTCATAATGGTTCCATTTATAAGAAGATCAGTCAACATGAAAACATTCTAGAGTGTGAGTGCCATCTCACAAACAAATATATATAAGGTGTGTGTCTCGCGCCTCCATTGTTCAACTAATATTGCAATCCAGATATATGTCACGCAGTTGACTGATCTTATAAAAACCAACGTTGATAACAAACAAGAGGACATACTCGTGCAACACATTAATGTATGTTGTCAAGGTGTTACATGATCACTACTCTAAAAATCAAGCAATTTATTTATTTAAACAATTAAAATCGTTGGAGTAAAAATAATTTACAATGCTTCATTAAAATATTTATCTAACCTTTTTGCTTTAAATATCATCAGAATAATATTGATTCTGCATATATAAAATTGACTTATCATCAGGACCTATCTCAATAACAAAGTGGTCCTGCTTGTCAGCACACTTAGAAGCAATTAAACCTCCTCTAGTTCGAACCATGTCTCCCACAAGGTCTTGTCCAAAAAATTATTAGCCTTTGCAATACCATTGAAAATCCATGAAGTTAAATTAAAAACAATAATTGAAAATTTTTTTGGAAAAAATCATAAAAAATAAAAAAAACCATGTAGAGAAATATTGTAGCAATCTATGGTGTTTCATGAGAAAATCTACAGTTATAATTCTTAACTAGCTCAATATTAAAAATAATAAAATCAACAAAGATAATTTTAAAAAAAATCATAACAAAAAAAAATCATGTGGTGGAACATTGTAGCAATCCACAATGTTTTAAAGAAAAAAATTACGAAACTAAATTCTCAACTAACTCAATATGAAAAAAATAAAATCAACAAAGACAATTCTGAAAAAAAATAAAAAAATCATCAAAAAATAATAAAAAGAACTATGTGGGAAAACACTGTAACAATTCACAGTATTTTAAAGAAAAAACTACAAAGCTAAATTTTCAATTAGCTCCATATTAAAAAAATAAAATCAACAAAAAAAATTAAAAAACACAAATAATTGGAAAAAAAAAGAAGACAATTTTGGGGGAAAAAAATTAAAAAAAAATATAGTGAAAGTTAAAGCTGAATTCTCAATTAACTTAATTTAAAAAAAAATCAACAAAGATAGTTTTGAAAAAAAATATGTGAGAAAACAATGTAGTAAAATAAAAACCCTGCAGAAAAATATTATAACAATACATAATATTTTAAAGAAAAAACCTATAACGTAAAATTGACGAAGATCATTTAGACAAAAAACTCATAAAAAATTTAAAAAAAAAACTATGAAGAAAAATATTGTAGCAATTCATAATGTTTTAAAGATAAAACTAAAAAAAAATTTCAATTAATTTAATATTAAAAAAACCGACAAAGATAATTTTAAAAAATTAAAAATAAAAAAAAGACAATCTTGAAAAAAAATGTAAAACCCATACAAAAACCAAAAAAATACGGAAAAAAAAATACAAAACAAAACAATAAACAAATAGGAAAAAAAAAGTACGTGGTATGGAAAAATCTACAGTAATTTTCCCCATCCTTTATATAGTATTGTTAATTTAATTACAATTTCATTTAAATTCAATAATGTAGCAGGCACCTGCCTATTATGACTTTATGGACTTTCCCATTATATAATTTGGCAAGGCAGTGTGTATGCATACTGTAATTAGAGATTCGATGTGACTACACAAGCTAGCTTCCACAGAGATTAATAGATTCATTAGACCATGCAATTATAAATATATGGTTAAAGAAAGGAGGAAAACACAATTAATCTCCAGCCTCTTTGTTCCAGATGGAGCTGTTCTTGGCTAACGACTTGTACCCTCAGCATAGCATAATAGATTCTTGGCTGACTTCTTGTTTTTCTCTAACCCTGCTTAGATGGCTACATGTGCGCTTACACTTTGTCCCATGTGTAAAAATATGTGAAAGCAACATAAGAATATTAAATTACGAAGCAGATCTTAACTTTAGAGTTAATTATCATTATCAAGAAAAATAATTATGAGGGAATAAATATTTTGAATTAAAAACTGAGGAAGCGAATTTAGTTAAATTTCATACCTATCTCTTAGAATTAAAAACACTATTTATAGGATAGTCACATTTTAAATTTATGTTTTAAAGATTATTGGTTATAACTTTTAAAATCATAAAAATCTATATAATTATTAATTTTAAAATTTTTAAAAAATTAATCAAGATGTATATAAACTGATTTAGACTATTTTATATATAAATCTCTTTTAAAACAAATTAAGCTACTCAAAGTCTCCTTTTAAAAAATAATTGGGAGCGTTTGAGCTCATTAGCTGAAAGTTTATACAAACCTTAACGGAAACTCAAACTCTTCCATAAGCATTCCTTTCAGGAATTTATTTTTTTTTATAAGATAGAATCTCGAATGTTTAATGCCAGTTTTAGTTTCATTAAACTCATGGAACGTAATCTTTATGCACTTTAATAATGTTGAGGGTGCATCTCCTTGATGCATGCCTCTTCCGAACAAAAAAAAATAAAAATAAAATATTATTTAAGCACCAAGCTTGCTAATTGGAATTCCGTATCTATAACATTGAATGTACTTTTAAAAAAAAAAAAAAAATTCTAAGTTATTGCCACCCACGTCGTTCAAGACTCAGCCATTGGCAATATACATGACTTGTAAAGCACGGTATATCAATTACAATGATATAAAGGAAGGGTGAATATTTTATCAAAACAAACTAACTAAATTGAATAATTTTATTGTAGTGTGTGAAGAGTAGTAGTGATTATTTTTTAAAGTAATTTTTGTTTGAAAAAATATAAAATAATATTTTTTATATTTTAAAAATTATTATTGACATCAATATATCAAAATAATTTAAAAAATAATAACTTCAAACAAAAAAAAATTCAAAAAATTATATAACGTGATTTCAACTGCAAAAATAAATAACCCCAGTATATATATTTAGAACCGGACCTGGCTAAAAACTAGTTGAGTTGAAATTGATTGGTTTTGTTTCAATTTCATTTGATTTTTTTTAAGAGAAAAGCTGACAAAACCTGTTAGTTTTTAGTGGGAATTTTCCAGGGCTGTTAATTTATAGCCAAATCTAGTTGCCGAATTATTGAATGTAAATTTCCTGAACCAGGCAAATCAAGGTGCTTAAACAGCCTATCACAGGGAGAGCTCAATGAATATTCCTCGGAAGAAGAAAGCGAAAGGATCTATGAATGTAGAAGAGATGGAATATGTACGAGGTTGTGTTTGTAACTCCAAAACTTGTTTGATGATATTACAAAAGTTGATAAAAGAGAGATACATGCTGACGGAGGACCAACATACCCATTTGCATTTGCATATAAATATCACCTTTGCAACCTGCATTTATGAATTAAAACTTGTGAATTTTGATAAATAGTAATAACCACATAAAAAACAGAGCACTTGATTTTCAAAATTAAACAGCAACAACTCTACTTAAATCTCCCGATTCTCAAAATTAAAAGAAAACAGAGCACTTGAATTTCTTTTATATATATATATATATAAGGAGCAGGAAAAGAGAAACAACAAAAGAAACAATAACTCTGCTCTTTTCAAGAATTAATGTATTTTTGAAAGTGCGGTGCATGTTGCTTTTTATAAATTGGTTTGCTGGTGACGGTGCCATCCTCAGAATCCTTCCTATTCGGCTTCTGGGTTCAGGTTTCAGCCTCAGATATCTGCTGCCTTCCGGCCTTCGCTTGCTTCAATGTTGCCATGAATACGCTTGCACGGTCCTCTTGATTCAATCTCAAGGGTCTTCGCGCGGCCTCTCTTTTTGTGAGAAAATCGAGACGTGAGGAGTGGATAAGCCAATGAGAAAGCTGAGAAGCCGAAAAGGATAGAATCCAGCCGGGGTCTGGAAGATTGCCCTCGCCAGTGTGACAGCGTGTGCTTGGTAGATTGCTTGGGGTTCTATGTTGGGCCCACTCTTTGTCACCTTAGGAAAATGGACTCATAGGCTGTCTGGGCCCTATGATCGGCTGCTCTTCAGAAAAAGGGCTACTAATGTAGGCTGTCATTTTCTTCCCTTGGAGTTCTTTCTTTCGGAGGACTAGCTGTGAGCTTTGAGGAAAGCCTGTAAGTTCTCTCTCGACTTCCCCTGGATTCCCTTCTCTTCCTGAGGAGTAAGGCCAGTCTATTAGCTGATCTTCCAAATCAAGTGAAAATCTAATCACACAACTCTTCTCTGATCTGCATGGTCTTGTTCAGCTGTCTTTATCCTTGCCTGGGGTGGATTGCTTTGAATAGCCCTACCAAGGATGGAGGCATTTAGGTTCTTCACTGTGAACTACTCTAATTTATTTTTTTATTTATTTACGTGGGGTGTCCAGGCCAGCTTACGCGTACCACGACTAATCTCCACGGTCCACTGAACATCCTGCAAGCCCAGTGAGCAAGTAAGACACCATGGGGATGACAGACGTGCACGGTAAGGCTCGAATCCAGGTACAGAGAAAGGAAACAAGCCCCTCCCACCACTGGACTAGAACCTCGCGCGCCAATCTTTTCTTTTTGTTTACTCGGGTTGTGGTTTTCGCCTGGACTTGAGAAGACTGCTCACACCCTTAGATAACTTTCAAAGTCTGCAAACCTTATTCTTCTCCTCCACCATTCTCCTTCTTCACTGGTTTAGTTGTAAATATATTAAAATAATATATATATATATATATATATATATATATATTTTAAAAAAAATTAAACAATAAAACCGGAGAGGGGCATGGAGAGGAGAGGTCACTATTTTAGGGTTAGATTTTTTTTTCCCAAGAAAAAAAAATCTAACCCTAAAATAGTGACCTCTCCTCTCCATGCCCCAAAAAAAATGTATTTACAAGCCTTTTTAACATATATTTCTACATAAAAAATTATGAGTATAAATTGAAAAATTTATATATACATGTAATCAAACAAATTTAAAACTTTGTACATTAAAAAATAAAAATTAAAACTCTTTAATAATAAATAACAATAAAAATAAAAAAATTGATAAATATATATTTAACCTTGCAATACGGATTTTTGACCCAGCTATATTGAAATGATTTATTTATCACAATTAGATTTTTATCTAATCAAATAATAATAGAAATAGATATGTATATGAAATTAATTAAAAAAATAATATGTAAATTTACACGTATTAAAAATATTATCTAAAAATAAATATTTTTTACATATATAAAACATTAAAAAATTATAGATAAATTTGAACAATTTTTTAAATTATAGATGAATTAGAACAATTTTTAAAAAAACTAAATGCATACAAAATAACTAAAAAATAATTATTATTTAAAAAAAGGCTATATAAATAAGAAAAAACATTTTTGAAGGAGTATTAATTTAAATAAAAAGAAATAAAATTTTTTTAAAAACATATATATAAAAAAATTTCAATTAAAAAAATATATTTATTAAAAAAAAAAAAAGCAATGTCAGGCTAGCTTGCCTACCTCATTTCACAAGGCCCATGTGCTTGGACATTAATATTTTTTTTTTTATTGCAAATAGGGTGAATAACATGCTTTTTGCCCTAAATTATTTTGAAAGATTAATAAATCAAACAACATGTCTTTTGATTTTGCTCAATTATCAGGCAATAAGGTAATCTAAATTGAGGTCGAAGGTTTTTGACTTGAAAACATATTTTTAATTTATTTTTTATCTAAAACACCTAAAAACACATTTTATTCACCTTAATAAATTCATTCATTGCTTTAAAAAACCCAAAAAACCATTTAAAGATCTGAAACCAACTAGAAATAGAAAATTATCCTGAGCTATGATATATTTTTAGGCTTTTTCAAGATGAATAAAAATATCTAAGTTGAATTTTTCTCATCAAATGAAATCATTTGATGTAAAAATCAACAATGCTAGTAGCCTTAATCGATATAAACAACATTTTCTCTCTCTATCATCAATATTCATCGATTTTTGTCCCTCTTCTCTTAAAATAGGGGTTAAAAATAAAAAAAATTATACCAAAATTGAATTAAAAAAAATATTTATGAGAAGTGCAGGTATAATTTATAAAATTTGAGGATTATATTAAATGTTTTTGTGTGAAATTTGAAATTATCACCTATTTATAATGCCTTATCCAATCTAGTGTGTACAATTTAATTTTAACATTATTTGATAAATTTGATTCAATTATTTTTAAATTTAGCCCAAAAAATATGCAATCAGCATGAAATATTTGAGAATCAAATTAAAAAAATAAAATTTTAAACAATGAATTTGAAATATTTAGCCATACCTTTTAGATTTTTGCATAGTGAATGGTATGTAGTTTTTGTTAGTTTTATATGTAAATTCCAAAATTTTTAAATTTAGGATATAATAATATAAAAGTTACATGTAATGATAACAAATATTTTTTTTTTATCATCATTTAAGGATTTTTCTTAATAAAGTAAATAACATGTTTTCTTCTCTAATGCAATGAAGTATTTTTTATTGAAATTATATTTAGTTATTTATAATTAAGAGTTAATTATATTTTAAAAAGATAAGATAATTTTGCTTCGGTATAATAAGTAAATTTATTTAAGTGTTTTTAATAATTTACTTATCATGAAATAAATAATATTTATTTAATAAGATAACAATTTATTTGTAATTATAATATAGATTTAGTAATTAATATAATCATGGATATATTAATTAATTTAATGAGTGATAAATAAATTATTATGATACCATAAATAAAAGCAGCTAGCAGTTTGATACTTTCAAATGATAAATGGGTCATACTTGTAGATCACTGTGGAAGTGGTAAGATTACAAGAGATATGGACACTCCTCCGTCGCCTTCCCATAGTAAGCCAGTTATGTGTGGGCCTCTGGGCCAACAAGCGTTTCGTTTTGGACTTTATATGTACGCCTTTCCCTGGCGTACATCTAAATTTGCTGACATTATAGTTATCTCTAGTGCAAGTAGATCCGTAAATTATAAATACCCATTATTTTATGATTTTTTAGTATTTTCATTTTTCCATCGTGGGATTTAAAAAAAATTATTTAATTTTGTGACTTTACATTTATCTTACTCATAAGTTAAGTTTTAATTTTAGGTAAAGAGATAAACTTATAAATCCCTAACTCATAAGTAACATAAACATAATCTCACCTGGTTAAATACTTGATTAATTTTGTGTTTAGGTTTTTTTTTTTAATTTCCCAATGCGAAACTAGAATTATTGAAAATCACAAATTAATAGTTATTTCTAACACATAGTTTTGATTTTTTTAGAATGCTCAAATAAAAAAAAAATTAAATAAGAAAATTATTAAATACAAGTACTTTATACATCATCAATTCTTTAGGATGCACATGAAATGCTATCTCTCTGTTTTTTTTTTTTAATCTTCATCCCTTTAAAAAATTTATTTTATTTTGACTATTTTGTTGCCAGTGTGCTTTTGTAAGAAATTTTTCGGTAATATTATTTAACCTAGTCAAGTTTCTGAATGAGTCTCACAGTAAATGGAGTAGGAGTTCACACAATGTCACATAACTGACTTGGCAAATGTTACTGCAACTTGGTTTAATATTATTTTATAAATTTTTTTAAAATTATGTTTTGAATTCATCCATATTAAATTAATTTAACTCATCTAATTTGTGATTTAAGTTATTATCTTAACTAAGTTTAAAAACCTTTCGAATCAAATTAAATAGTTAATTTAATAATTATAAAAGTAGACACTTGCAAGTAATACAAAAAATAAAATTATAAAAATAAATGTATTTTTTCATTACAATTGTTTTTTTTTGTTCATGTATTTTTTAGTTCTAACAATAAAAAATATTTTTTGTATTAATAGCCTAGTTTGTTGAATAAAAAGAAACAACAATCAGGAAAATAAATTCAAAAAAACTATCAAAATTAAAAATAAAATTAAAAAAAATATATTTTTTATGTAATTTAACAATTATATAAAAATAGACATTTGCAAGCAATACAACAAATAAATTTATAAAAAAAATGTATTTTTTTATACAATTGTTTTTTTTGTTCATGTATGTTTTTTGTTTCGACAAAAAAAATATTTTTTGTATTAATAGTATAGTTGGTTTAATAAAAAGCAACAACAATCAAGAAATGTTTTTTCAAAATAACTATAAAAATTAAAAATAAAATTGTAAAAAACATATATTTTTTATTAATAAAAATAAATTTTCTCATTCATGTTTTTTTTTTAATTTGTTTTTATGAAACATGCTTTTTTTAAGAGGAGTTTTTCAAAAAAAAAACTCATTATAATCATGAAACCGAACTTCAATTAAAAAAATTAAAAATTTTAGAATTGATCATCACTCTCAGCAACTATCTTAAAAAACAAGAGCAATACATTTCAAAAAGCCATAGAAAACACTTGCAATTAAAAAAATTAAGAAAACATATAATTTATTCTCAAACAAATTATTTTAAAAATTCTGTATATCATAAAATAATCAATAATACATAATTATTCATAAAATAATCAATAATACTATCATAAAATAGCCTTAATCTTCTTAAATATAACAACATAAGTTTTATCAGGAGCACATTTTTTGAATAAAAGGTATCGATTCTTAAAATAAAAATTTGTAAAAAATTTCCACCATTTGAAATAAGTAAGAAAAATATTTTTTATTTTTTATTTAAATCTAAGCTCCTTTTCTGTATTAATACATCTATTTATTACTTTAACAAAATTGTATTTTTAAATTATAAGTAGTGTTTTTTAAATAATAACTTATCATGATGTTAAAAAAAAGTGTTTTTTAAATAAAATATTATCAATAGAGGTTGCATTTTATAAAAGAATCTTGTGAATAGTTAAGAAAGAAATAGATGCTGCATTTTTTGTTCCAGTGTTGCGTTTCGTAATTATATTCTTAAATTTTTAATAGTAATAAAATTAATTTTTATTTTTTTTAAATCAAATATAAATTTAATTTTAGAATATTCTATGACACCCTGAAAAACTCATAAAAAAAATCAAAATAAATTATCAATATAAAAAAACAATTTTTTTTTTAAAAAAACCTCAATTACTAAAGTGAAAAATGCTTCCCTTTTTTCAAGATATTTGTTCGTATATGAATTTCTTGAATAAAATCATTTACTACAAAAAATTGCGAGCTAGCAAAATCGAATCAATCCAAGAGACTGACCCCATGCTTAAGAATATATGCTTATTTATTTATTTATCTGGTTCAGATTCTAGAGTCAGCTCCTGAGAGAATTATTAAATCTCTTAATGCA